CCTATCCTTCTCACGCAAAACTATGCAAACATTGACGCTAGAAGACTTTCAGTAGATGGATGTCTTCCACACGCCAACCCGGGGTCTTATATCCGTAAACCAGAACTGACCGCACACGAACTCACAACTTCGGTGAAATGTCGATGACAGCCCTGCGTATGTAACTCGAACCTTCAATATGAATGCGGTCACCCCCTGCAATACGCTACCGTCATTTATCGCACGTGCAACTAGGTAGGAAAAACAATCAATGTTAATAAAATCCGGAACACCTAGTATCAAAGTACGAACAGCCGACACCGAGTACGTAGTATCGATCAACTCTTTGAAGGCGCTAAGCATATAACGATTGGAGCAAACACGATAGATGTTTCCTCAGTATGACCCAAAAGACAGATTATTTCGTCATGGAACTATAGATGGAACATATTTTAATTAGTTACTCATTCGGTGGCAACATATCATAGACCACTTATTGAGTTCTCTAGTATTTCATCTACTACGAAATTAATCAGGAATGGCTAAATATATCATTGTAGAACACCGCTGCTGGTTTCGGCCGCGCTGCTTAGCTCGCCGTAGACCCTTTCTCTACCGGTACGGTGAAATCAGATTTAGTTTAAACAACCACTAACATACATCTGAGCGTCCCTTTGAGCGCAGAAATAGGTTAAAAAGCCTTTCAACTATCATCAGTCGGGTTTTCTATATTCTTATGTAATCACCGAATCGAGACCATTAAAAGGTTGGCCCCGACACCAGACATTCACAGTACCATGATTTATATGCAGGTCACTCAGAACTAAAAACACGATCCCCGAACCGAATTGAGCTTACATGTTTTTCGTGATTTTCTGGTACCATTTTATTTCGTGTGTTCTTAAGAAGGTGAAAGTCGCCGGCGAATCATGTAAGAATCTCAGTGGCTAAAAAACCTTTTGTTTTTTTGTCATTTCTCAAATGCTATTACTACCACGTGATAGTTGATGATTTCTACAAATAATCTGGGTATTCTGTTTACGGCTGAATAGATTAAAAGCTTCAGAATACTGTAGAGCATTTTAATTGGAAACCAAAACATTTCACGTTATTAGCAACTTACCATCTGTGTCAGGGTCAAAATAGGCCACAAAGTCCGGTTTGGTGCTCATTGGAAAATAACTAGGTGCAACAAAATGCAACAAGTTGTACAGTTCGACAAGATTGTTCTGTACGGGAGTCCCAGTGAGGATAAAACGAAGACCTTTGCATGTCTGCGCGAACGGAGAACAAAATTTGTGTCAAAAGGCAAATATGATAGGGAAACCAAGTGCAGTGCAATTATCAAAAGGGATAAAGGTAGGATAGAAACGACTGGTGCAGCTCAAGAATGAGGGATATTCAATGGCACACCCCCTCCCCCCTCATTAATTCGATGAACTGCATGACGCACCGGGCTCCCTCTGCATTTGCTACCCCCACCTGGAAACGTTCGGCGGTGGTTAACAAATAACCACTCATGGAGAAAAAGTTAGGAAGGCTAGGATTTTTAGAATTAAACGCCAATATCCAAAGGATTAATTCACTAGCATGCTGAAGAAATGAACACATATGTGTTACAGCAAATATCAGCTCATAGTATTCTTGTTTTTTCATTGTCTAGGACTATTTGATTGGTTACGTAGGCAAAAATTGACGGGGTTTGGTTCGCATGTTGAATCTCCCTCAAACAAATCCACTTACACAAGCACGCTCTCTTTGCACCGAGTGTGAGCTACCAGAGTAAATTTATCAAATAGTAAAGTTTAAAGAGATTGCGCAATACGGGGGCTATGAACATAAAACGGAAACTCACGTCGTTTAGAGCACCAAATAGTAGGGACTCTGAGTTTTTCAAACGATGCCCTTCATCTACCACGAGAATTCGCCAAAATTCTTGTCCGAAAAACTCTTCGTCATTCAGGGCGATCTGGAGTGAGGGAAAGTTTATTTCCCCACAGTCCACATACCTCAAAAGAAGTGAGAAGTACAGGAGTGTCATGTATAGAAAAAGAATTCCGGAGCCTTGCACGAGTCTCTTGGTCCCCAGTATACACAGTGAATTTAATGGTAGGTGAAAACCTGTGACGAAAATGTATAAATAATTGGAGGTGTTGCCAAACTTTTCTAATTCAGTTTTCCAATTTGACATCACTGATAAAGGGGTGACAATAAGTGCAGTGGTCTTTGCTGACTCCTTAAACAAAGCGGTGAGGAATGCAATAACCTGCCGACAGAAAATGGAATTATTGGAAAAAGAAACCAACCTGACATGTTTTACCGAGACCCATCTCGTCGCACAAGATACCACCACGATTTTGTGTAACACATTCTTTTAACCAAGAAACGCCATATAATTGATAAGCCCGCAAACTGATGTTCTCCAGTCCAGCTGCTTCTAAGGCAGCCTGAGTGATCCCTTCGCGTTCAATGATAGGAAGGGATTTCACACGATCCAATAGACGTTGCAATCGCATGTCTCTATAAAAGAATAAAAAAACACTTTTACCCATGGCGTTGGCATATCGTTCTATTTGAAAACATTAATTTCAAATATTGTATCTTGCGACAAACCCTCAATCCGTCTCGTCCTACTCGAAAGGCGGTTTATTTACAGCGCAGAAAGCTTCTATTTGCTAATACCCCTTCACCCGTCTATCCATGGTCAACCTACGATCAAGAGTAAATTAGTATTCTACCAGTGATCACCCGTGAGAGAATAAAAATGAAACTGCGTACACTGTTTAGCGGTCGTGAACACACATTTATACTAAGCCACAATATTTTTATTCACAACCCAGTGAGTTCCTTTGAAACAAGTCAATCCCGAAGAATTATTGAGATTGTGATAACATTTTGTTGGTTAGTAACGTCTAACTTCGAAAAGCTTGATATCAGCGCTGGTTTATTGGTGTTTTGTGATAATTAGTAGTTGGGTGACTTGAAAGAAGCAACCGGAGTCTCTTGGACATCAATCTGGAAGACGAGACACCTACTCTACCTAATCGCTCTGCGCATTACTTCATACTTCGTTCCCACATTATCGGTTGGCCTCCATGTGATTTCCTCCAACCTGGGGTTGCAACTGTAAATGAGGCGCAGTGCGGTAAATGGCAGCTGGGTATGGACATTCCATGTCCAAAACAGTGAGCCTATTAGTCTGAATTGGATATGATAACGAGTTCTCTGCCGAACCATTACCAAATACTCGACGGCTAACCTGAGTACTGCATACACGATCACACCCTCCAACCCGCGTCAAATTGCGTAAATATCGGCAGTCGAAGACTTCTAGACGGTGAATGTTTTCTACGCGAAAACTAAAGGTCTCGCAAACGTAAAGCAGAAATGGACGCACAAAGACATAGTATACGCAACCGTTCACCTTCGGGTAACCATCACAGCGGCGCCAAACGTGTTACGGTCCTGCATACGCTGCTCGCGCCTCGGAAATGCAAGCGGCTACTTCCTTTACCATTTGTCAAGCAACTATCTAAGAAGGAAAAACATTCCACCATAGCTAATTCTTGGCCATCAAGTCGAGGTAGACGTCACCCAATCTTGTAGGAAAATTTCGCATTCTAAATGGAGTTACAGAACTTAAAAGTTTGTCAGGGGAGCCCTGCGCAACCTCCGTACATTCGGACAGACTAACGGTATCGACAGTTGATGTGTCTCGTCAAAGCTACCACATAACCTGATTTCACTATACGTATCTCAACAATTGCAGTTAGAAAACAGTTGCGAACGGTGCGAGCCTTTGTTGGTAGCGCCAGCCAAAACACGGTCGAGTAAAGAAAACGCGAGCATCAATGGGGTTAATCACTTTCTAGACATTGGTTCGGAATGGGGGTTACGTTGGTGGCGATGGAGGTGATGTCACTGATGTGTAGACCACATTCTTCACCCTAAAAGTGACTATTTCCTTCTATTTTTCCCTATTTTTTCCAATTATGTTTCATAAAAATTAAATTTCCAGATTTTTGCGCCAGGAAACTCATTCCGCACCACCGGCCATACTCGACCCTTATTGGTCCATTTTCTTGTGACTTACTACTTTTAAGCTAATTCCGGTCCCTGAATTGTATTTTTGGTTGAGCCCAATATACAAACTCGCCTGAAGGCCTTCCTTCCTTCTCTCTGGTCGGAATCCGTGGATCGTACTAGTTCGTGGGGCACTCCTCTCGTTACCGTCCCGTCGTGTCTCCTTTAGGGTACCGCAGTCGGACATACCGGGTATCGCTACTCCACCGCTGGGTCGTACGGCTCCGTTCGTGGGTCTCCACTACCGGGGCTCGTGTAGTCCGGTCGTTTCGTTCAGCCCAAAGTTACAACAGCCACAAACCAGGCCACCATACCCTATCTGTTACTCTGTCACTCTGTGCCTATCTTTACCCTCAGAGAATTGACCATACACTATGACGCAAGTGTGAATTCAGTTTCAGTTTCAACAACCATTAACCATGCACATTCGTGCGCCGGTTTTGGTTGCTGTCTTTTGGCTGCCCATTGGGGTGAAGAATAGGAGAAGAAAGGAAAGTTGAAAGTGGAGTCGAAAAGAAAATGGAGAAGTTCAGTGGTCTAAGGTTGCAAAGAAATTGAGATGTACGAACGCC